GAGTAGCTGGGATTACAGGCACGCACCACCATGCCCAGCTAATTTTTTTTTGTATTTTTAGTAGAGACGGGGTTTCACCGTGTTGACCAGGATGGTTTCGATCTCTTGACCTCGTGATCCACCCGCCTCGGCCTCCCAAAGTGCTGGGATTACAGGCTTGAGCCACCGCGCCCGGCCTGATAAAATTGTTTTAAAATTGATTGTGGTGCTGGTTGCACAAACTCTATAAATACACCAAAATACCACTGAAGTATATACTTTAAATGAGTCAATTATATGGTATGTGAATTACATCTCAATAAACTTATTTTTAAAAAGGAATAAAGTTTTTCTACTATGAAATGATCACCAGCATACATTGTTAAGAAAAAGAGTGTGTTTAATATGTTCTTCTTTCCTTAAGAGTGAGATATGAGTATATATGTCTATATTATAATATTTCTAATGAAATAATAAAATGTGAAATTAAAAAAAATAATTACCTATGTGGAAAGGAAAGAACAGGGTGGAAGCACAGGGATAGACATTAGAAACTTCTTTGAATACATATCCCAAGAACAAAATGAACTAAAAATCAATTTTCTGTAGTAATTATATTCTTGATGGTATCAGTAGTACTTTTATTGTGAGACTATTCTGTTTAAAATGTGGATTAATATTATACAAGTGATGAATTATGTTGGTTCCACTGGACAAAAGCAAATGATGAATTAAATTATGTTGATGTTACTAAGAACCAGGATTCTCATTGTGGGAAAAGGAAAAACATGTGAGATTGATGAGGCTAAGTAAAATCAAGTAGTCCTGAATCTGAACTGGAAGGATGAGTATGCACTGATGGTGTACTTTATGAAAGAGAAAGACAAAGAAATACCTCCTAGCTTGGTCCACTGAAAAGACCTAAAAACAATGGCTATTAAAAAACATAGCCGGGTGTGATGGGTCACACCTGTAATCCCAGCACTTTGGGAGGCCAAGGCAGGTGGATCACTTGAGGTCAGGAGTTTGAGACCAGCCTGACCAACATGGTGAAACCCCATCTCTACTAAAAATGCAAAATTAGCTGGGCGTGGTGGCACACACCTATAATCCCAGCTACTTGGGAGGGTGAGACAGGAGAATTGCTTGAACCTGGAAGGTGGAGGTTGTAGAAAGCCGAGATCACACCATTGCACTGCAGCCTGGGCAACAAGAACATAACTTTGTCTAAAAAAAAAGAAAAGAAAACAAACAAACAAAAAACCAATGAGAACTCCTAACACCCAGACTGGTTTTGATACAGAAGTGGGGCAGGGAAGTGCTGGGTAGAGGAGGGCATGGTCCCTGGTGAGGGCTCCACCCCTGGGTCTGTGCCCATGGACCTAGGTGAGGACAGGCACTCCTGCCTTCATGCCCAAATGATGCATTTCCTAAAACCTCCCTGGCCTGCCATGCCCCACTTTGCACCTATAAAAACCCTGAGACCCTAGCAGATAGACACGCAAGTGGCTGGACGTCAAGAGGAGCAGATCAGTGGAAGAAGACACAAGTGGCTCAGTATCGACAGACACCAACAGGCACCGGCAGGCCATTGACTGACCTAGGCCATTGACTGGCAGAACAACGCAGAGTCTGGCTGGGGCAGTGGGAGAAGAGTCAGGGTAGTCGGAGAAGAGTCAGGGTAGTCTGAGAAGACTTGGGCCACTCGGTGGCCTGACTCCAGGGGAAAACCAGCTCCCTACTGGCTCCCCCATCTGCTGAAAGCTACTTCCACTCAATAAAACCTTGCACTCATTCTCCAAGCCCACGTGTGATCTGATTCCTCAGAACACCAAGGCAAGAACCCCAGAATACAGAAAGCCCTCTGGCCTTGCAATAAGGCAGGGGTCTAATTGAGCTGACTAACATAAGCCGCCTACGGATGGCTAAACTAAAAGAGCACACTGTAACACATACCCACTGGGGTTTCAACTGTAAACATTCACCCCTGGACACTGACGTGGGGACAGAGGCCCACAACCTGTCTGTCAGTATGCTCCTCTAGAGGTTTGAACAGTGGGGTACTGAAGAAGGGAGCCACTCCCCCTGTCGAATGCCCTTCGATGGAGACAAGGGAACTTTTCCCGTTTCAGTTTCTAAATACCGTTTCCCTTAAAACATATCAGGTTCATAGAAGAAAGTCTAATTCCAGGTCTAGAGTAGGAAATGTAAACGACGGATGAACCTAGAAATCTCTTTAATAATCCAGAAAGCAAAGAAATTATCAAATACCACTAAAATCTGAAAAAAACTCAAAAGTTAACTTGAAAAGCCTCCCATTAACCAAAACTGGGACAATTTGAGCATCATTAAGAATAATGTTTGAAACTTATATGATAATATCTAGGATTCATAAAGACATTAAATAAACAAAAACAACAACAACAACAAATAGCCCTAATTGATCACTTGACTGTTGGAGGATGCAAATGAGTGAGAAGAAACAAATTCATTATGAAAACTGATAAATGATAAAAATCAAGCACGTAACTTGCCTATCCTATATGAACTACAGCTCAGGATAACCCAATAGTTGAGAGGTTTCTCTTTACAAAAGTAGTCCACCTAATAAATGAAGAAGGAATCAAAATGTGAACATTTTATAATTCGTAATAAAATTAATGGATAAGCAATGATAGTAAGTAGCTGCTCATGTCACAATAAGAGACAACCAAGCATTATCACTTCCAAATAAAAGTAGGTAATATCACCTAGAAAGTTTTCTTGTCAGGAAGCTGAGGCAGGAGAATCACTTGAACCCAGGAGGCAGAGGTTGCAGTGAGCCGAGACTGTGCCACTGCATTCCAGCACTCCAGCCTGGGCGACAAAGTGAGACTCCATTTCAAAAAAAAAAAAAGGCTGGGCACGGTGGGAGGCCGAGGTGGATGGATCACGAGGTCAAGAGATCGAGACCATCCTGGTCAACATGGTGAGACCCCGTCTCTACTAAAAATACAAAAATTAGCTAGGCATGGTGGCACACGCCTGTAGTCCCAGCTACTCAGGAGGCTGAGGCAGAATTGCTTGAACCCAGGAGGCAGAGGATGCGGTGAGCTGAGATCGCGCCATTGCACTCCAGCCTGGGTAACAAGAGCGAAACTCCGTCTCAGAAAAAAACAAAACAAAAACAAAAAACAGTTTTCTTGCCAAAAAAATTTCAAACCAGAACCTATTCAAGCTTCTAGTTCTAATTTATAGGAAATACAGGAAACAAATGAACGTGGTAAAACAACATCATCGGGTTGCAATCAGTGAAATACAAACTGTCCAGCAGGGCGTAGCGGTGGCCGCCTATAATCCCAGCTACTCAGGAGGCTGACGCATGAGAATTGCTTGAACCCAGGAGGCAGAGGTTGCAGTGAGCCAAGATCGCACCACTGCACCCCAGCCTGGACAACAAAGCAAAACTCTGTTTCAAAAAAAAATACAAACTGTGGGATATATCATGGGAGAAACGAACCAGGTTTGTCAACACATACATTGTCAAAAAGCATTAAACAGATAAATGGGTGAAAAGAGAACATATGGATTAAAAGAGACAAACTTTCTAGGACAGACAGGTGACAGCAAAAAAAAAAACCAAATCAAAAAAAAAAAACCTTATCAGCCAAATGCAATATATGAATCCTATATGGATCTTAACTGAAAAAAAGCAACTGAAAAAAAGAAAAAAGAGAGACAAGGAAATGTGATTGATTTCCTGGCTGACTGAATATTTTTTGATATTAAGGAATTATTAAAATTTTCAGATGTGGTACGTTGTGGTTAAGTTTTTAAAAAGCCTTTATTTTTTAGAGATATATTCTGAAACATTAACAGATGAAATGATATGATGAAGTCTGAAATATGCTTCAAAATAATACCGCTGGGGTTGGTAGTATAGAGGAAACAAGAATGGCCACGAACCCTGTAGCTCAGGGACACATGAGGTTTACTGAACAATTTGCCTCTACCTTTGCAATTGATTAAAAATTTCCAAAGGTTTTAAAAAAATTCTAATGTCCTTATATAATGCTTTGTTATGTAGCTTAGTATGTTCTGAGGTTACAGAATGCTTTTCACACTAAAATCCTCCTGCCTGGGTTCTTTCTTTGTAGATAAGCCATGGCTTTCACTTGAATCTTTGAAAGAAATATAAAACAAGATAAGTACTCTCAAAAAGTAAGTGACAATTTAGTTGTGGATAAAATAATAAATGCTTTAGCACTAAAATTTAGTTTATTCTACACTTGCAAACTAACTTTAGACCTGAAAAAGCATACTGTTATTAACCCATTAAAAATTATAAATATTGGCCAGGCACAGTGGCTCACACCTGTAATCCCAGCACTTTGGGAAGCCAAGGGGGGCAGATGACTTGAGGTCAGGATTTTGAGACCGGCCTGGCCAACATGGTGAAACCCCATCTCTACTAAAAATACAAAAATTAGCTGGGTGTGGTGGCAGGTGCCTGCAATCCCAGCTACTCGAGAGGCTGAGGCAGGGGAATTGCTTGAACCCAGGAGGCAGAGGTTGCAGTGAGCCGAGATCGCATCACTGCACTCCAGCCTGGGCAACAGAGTGAGACTATGTCTCAAAAAATAAATAAATAAATAAATAAATATTTTTATTTATACCACCTAGGTAAGCTTTCATTTTAAAAATAAAATTCCACAGTCACAGATATAAACAGAAACAGCTCTATTACCATAGTCTGTACAGGTTAAGGAAACTAAGTATTTTTAAGAGTATCAAATTTCAAACAAATAATTAGTGGAAAAGCTACAAAAGATGCTTATTCAAAATTGTAAATATTTTTATAATTTTGAATAAGCATCTTTTGTAGCTTTTCCACTAATTATTTGTTATATTCTGGAGATTAGCAGTGACAGAGTAACAATTATTCTCTACTTACTTCTCACTTTAAGACTATAGATAACACAGCCAGTGGTTCACAAATATGCTTACAGATCTAAATATCTGAGCCAAAAGAATGTTCTTACCTGTTGCCTATACAGTGAGAGTTTGCCTTCAATGGGCTCATTTCTCATCACTTTCTTTTCAATCAACTGGTTAACTTCTGTGTTTATTTCATTTATCTAAAACAGTATGAAAGCAAAAAAAAAAAAAAGTTAAAACTCTCCCTATGAGTACATAAATGGCCAAACCAGGTTTGAATTTATAGTTTTTTTTTTTTTTTTTAAGAGACAAGGTCTCTGCCCGGCACGGTGGCTCAAGCCTGTAATCCCAGCACTTTGGAAGGCCGAGGCAGGTGGATCACGAGGTCAAGAGATCGAGACCATCCTGGTCAACATGGTGAAACCCTGTCTCTACTTAAAATACAAAACATTAGCTGGGCATGGTGGTGTGTGCCTGTAATCCCAGCGACTCAGGAGGTTGAGGTAGGAGAATTGCCTGAACCCGGGAGGTGGAGGTTGCGGTGAGCCGAGATCGCGCCATTGCACTCCAGCCTAGGTAACAAGAGTGAAACTCTGTCTCAAAAAAAAAAAAAAAAAAAAAAAAAAAAG